TTATTTACTACCATAATTTTAACCAGAAATTTGATGCCTAACCGTGCCTTTTATAATACTTGAACTGTCATGGTAAAAGACCGATGTTAAAAGGAAAGAAACCAATCTTGTTACACTTTGTAAAACTAATTTTAAAATATTGATATATGAATATTGATTTACATATAATTATATTATATAAACCAAATGTAATTATATTATATAATTACTTATATTATATAAAACGGCTTATTTTATTATTAAATGTGCAAATTAATACAAATACTAATGGAAATATCAAAGTATATTATTGTGTGATATTGTGACAAGGTATGATAAGAAAATGTAACATATTAAGTAATATGTTTTAAGTTCACTTTTTTTTCTATAGAGATAATTGTAATTATTTGCAATTATTAATATCTCTACGCAAGACAAGATATGAAAAAGATAATAAACTAGTACACGTAATACATTTAAAGTTGTTTCATTAGCAACATACGAGGCCAGGAAATATCGGCTAACCGCATAGAAACACGTACGTCATTAACATTTCTCAGTCGATATTTATATCTTTAGATAAATATGACTAAGAAAATACGAAGTCGAACACGTGTGTTATCTTATTTGAAGTTTGAAACAATATTCTGTCGTACTTTATAATTTCAGAATAATTATAATTTTTTAATTTATTTCGTATAAAAATTTAAGTACATTTAATTAACTTTAGATCATAGTAATAAAAAACACGTAATAAAAAAATTTTTATTATCACCATTTAGTAATTACATAGAATCTGCATATATAGCAGTAAAACGTGCTTAATAAAACAGTATTTTATATTATAAAATATAAAGAAATTTTAAGATTATTCCAAGATATTTGATAGAAATAAAGTCATGTATGTAATATCAAGGGATATTAAGAAGCAAGCTGAGCTAGTACAAACAAGCTGTGTTATTATCAAAATGACTTGCGGTCAGCATTTTCCTTCCACGGCAATAAAAGAGAAGGCTGAAAGAATAGGCGAATGACTTGCCTATAAATGTGTTCGCACCTAACAATTAGCTGGTATACGTCAGGGAGCACGTAATAAAGCAATGATCGTGTTTTACGAGGCAGTATATAACTCCACGAACAAACCACCCAACCGCAAATTTACCCCTTCCTTCTCTTGTCTCTCACCTAGCCTAACATCGAACTGGTCCCGTCCGTTCAGTCTTATCACGAAAGAAACGTTTTGTCCATATGTCGTAAAAATAATGTCTTGCAAATTACTGGAAATGAATTTTTTCCGGTAGCTACGCTTAAATATTCGAAATCTATATCCCTAAATATTCGAAATTTGCAATGTTAATAATCCTCCTTTAAATATTAAAACAGAATTGGAGAGCATTTTCTAGTTATCTTATTACGATTACGATGTTATTTATTTGCACTGTCCTCTTCATTCATTCTTAATTGTATCTTTATTATTATTATAAAATATATTTTTTGTTTAATCGTATATATATTTATTAAATATATTTTGTTTAATCGTATTTTATATACATATATCATTGTAGAAAGATTCAACATTTTATTAATTCTTATTCCTCTCAGATATACTACTATTCCTTTCATCTAGTTTTCATTTTTTTATGGAGGATTATAAGTTTATTGCTCAGCAAATATTCTTAAAGTGATTCAATTTTTAACGTGTTTGTTGAAAATGATTTATGTATGCGCGTAAATATAGATAACGATACACACAAGTGGGAACAAATATTTTCAACGTTATTCTATTTACTCTCTAATTCACACCTCACGTCCTAACACAATATTTTTCTACGTTCTTCTAATATTTTACAATCTCCCAAGGCAAAAGCAACTCGGTCTGGTTACTGGAATAAAGTTTATTAGCTTTTTAAAAGATTTTCGAAATTAGAATTAAATAATCGGGATAAAGTTACATGATATGTCAATAACAAAATATTGTAGTAATATATCTTTCGATTGTTCTGATATCTCTACATTTCTAATAACAATTAAGATACCGAAAACTATTGGAATCCTCTCTCTATTTCTCTTATATTCGACTATCACTCAACTATCTGGCTGATAAATTCCATTACCTAAAATTGGTTTATTCGCATGCGCTTTCGGAGCTAAAGAGAAAAGGCACCAAAAAAGTACGCGATATCGATTTTGAGGAAGAAAATCGCGGACGATGAAATAGTCTCAGACAGAAATAAACGAATGCACGGGTAAAAGATTCAGTTCTCCCGATCTCAAAATGAAGCAAATGATTCCCCTTTCCCCCACCGCAGACCCAACCCATCCTACGGCCATTCCATCGTTCCATTCTCATATCTCCCCCTTCCATCCAAGTGCACCAATCGAGTTCGATGCCACCGTCGATGTCATCCGTGAAATACATTTTAGCTACGAAGTCGTCTTTCCTGTCGTCATCATGGACGGGTGGTGGTAGACTCCTGGCGATTCGTTTCGTACGGATGGCAGCAGATGGAGTTGAGACGAAAGAGGGCATCATTTCACGGATCTCGTGCCTCGCGCATTTTCCCTTCCTCGTCCCGCTACTCTTTCGTCTCTCTTCATCGTTGCGGCTCTTTACGAGAATGAAAAGGTAACATCTTACCAGAGAGACCGCGCTTCTCCCTCCTCTTTTCCTCTCTCGCGACCGGTATGATCCCTTCCCTCCACGGGCTTTTTCTGGTTTGTTCTACCTCGATGTCGTCCCCAGCCCTTTCGCCCTCGGCTTCAATGCACTCTCGTGATTCGTTGTGACGAGGGGATACGGGTGCAAACATGATTTAGAGTAATGTCGTGGATGAAAGAATAAAATCCGCGAGGTTGATGCCAAACAAATAACTTATGGTATCCGGACGTGTATGCGGCTTGTGAGACTATCCTATTGCTATACCACAGTACAGCAGATATACCTGGCGGCTGTATATCGGATATACTCTGTGCCTCAACGTTTCATTCGCAGTTTTTTCCTTTGAGACGTTAAAGATAGTAGTATATTATGTGTGGTTACAGAGATGATCTAGATGTAATAACAGGGCTCGTATCGCGCTAGACCCCATAAAGGAACAAGATTCTTATCTATATTTTAACTCAATCATATTGATATTTTTTAAGTGAAAGGATATATTAGTTTCGAATTACTATGAGTTATGAAAAGATGTTAAATTTGCACGTAGATAAATTGTCTGTTGTAAATAATTAAAAACTTGAAATATTTTCTTCTTCGTTCAATATGTATAAAAGATATAGTAAATAAAAATTTTATTATTTTAAAGCAAAAGAAATTAAAAACAATTTTTTTTTATTATGTATATTTAAGCACGAGAGAATATTTTTTTCAAATTTCAAATATGTGTTTGATTTTTTGTTAGTCATGTTCATGTAATATATAAAATTAAAATATTGTATAATAATATGTTGGCTACAACGTGAAGAATAAATGCATTTTTAGTGCGACATGCGATGATTGAAATTATTGATCCAAAATGTCAAACAACTATTACAAATGAATAATGACGTACGTTTCAACGGTGATAGTAATCTACCTTTATGAGGGAAGATGGTAAATGGTTTAATGTTTCGTACCAACAGGTGGTCGCTTTTAGAATGCAAACTTATAGCTGTATGACCACCTAAAATAATGTATTGTAGTATAATTTTCTATTGATGTATATATATTATATAACTAACAAATAGACACACATATATAAAGAATATTATGGTCGACTGGCATTAAAGTTTATTTATTAAACATTCTATGCGGAACAAAATCGTGTGTTATATCTTTTATTTGTAAGAACATTAATTATTTTTGATAAATTAATATCTAAGATTTTTTAAATTTTCATTTCCTATCATATTATTTATAGCATTTTATAGTTTTATATTATTTATAGCAAAAACAATATGAACTGTATTATGCAGCTATTATGCTCGAAGACTTTTTCAAACATTGAAATAAATATAAATTATAAAATATAAGTCCAACTTTCTCCTCATTATTATTATTCGCTCAAGAATGACATTTTATTCATTTTATTTAATTATTTTATTAATTATGTAGGGAAGTAACAAATTTTTATAGAAATAAAATTATCAACATCTGGATTTGACATGAACAGAGTAATATGGTAAAATTCTTCATCACATATATATATATATTCTTCATAAATTGATATTCAGACAAAATTGGTCTCGTTTCTTATGACTTACCAGAGTCTCAATCTTCATACAAAGCACCAGATCTCGACATTATGTCAATCAAGCAAGGAATATGAGATTGATTATATTTCGCTGACAGAAATTTATCAAAAAAAAAAGCTTTCTTCATAGTGGAATAATGAAACAACTAATGATACGAACGCACATCATTATTTGAGCTATTTTGTCCGCGGAAAAAAGGGCGGGGATTTTACGAATACTCGATATAACATGCATTTCGTGCGCGCGCGGCTCGACGAGATCATCGAGATGCAACGATTATTGCAGCGGCATCTGTATGGCGGTTATTGAAATAGGTCGTAGAGCGTATGGGGCGGTTAGTCCCAGGGTCCATTCCGCTAACGGTAACGACCGACTCGTTGGTTCGAGTCTCGGCTAAGCTTGAAAATAAATTGAGCCGTCATGGCGGCAGCTGCCGCAGCAGCCTTTCCCTCAATTCGAACCCGTTTCTCCCTCCGTTTGTCCCCCGCGACAACGCCCGACAACTGCATGGGGTATCGAGGCGCGTACGCCTGCGCGGATTGACAGAATGTTACACCGATGGATTGAAGGGAGAGAGAGAAAATTGCGCCCTGAATGGAATTGAAAATTTCCTTGTCGCCCGCGATCGCAATTTTCGCGATAAAATCGAAAGGGAGATATTCACTACGTAAGACGGCTTGCGTCGCTTTTCAGATAAATTAAGATGGATAACGTAAAAAGATACTTCTTTCAAATGTAATTTTTTATTATTGCATAACCATGCGGATATAATAAATGAATTTACTCACCGGTCGCTGATATTCTGCCAACTTCTGTCGACGACGAATTTCATCCAAGTTCCACAAAGCACTCACTCGCGAAAGTTTAATTTTGATCGCGCATATCGATCGTTCAACAGTAAACGCCTGATATTTGATACGATTCTCAACATTCCCGATTCTCGATGATTTATATTCATACGTTTTTTGTCCGATCTTCTCGATATTCATTCACTCGCGAAATATTTAGTCTCGATAATATTACGTGAAATATTGAAGCAATATGCGTATAGCGACTAGAATTAGAAATAAATAATTATTATTGTGTACTTTAATTAGTATGCTTAAGAAGGCTTAGATCGCGTGGAGGTTAACCTCTAATTAGAGTTCACAAAGTGTCCCGCGTTATTCACACTTCCGATACACATAATACGATCGTCTGATACTTTCCTCGATACTCCCGATATCTCCCTCGGCACTCCCGATAACTTTTTCGACACTTCCGATACTTTTTTTCGGCATCTCGACATTATATGCTTACGTACAGGTACTATTTATTCTCGTAATACGTTTAACCGCAATGCTCGCGCGAGTTCACTTGACGAAACTGTCGCATGATGGCATCACTAACGCGATATATGGCACGAATAAAAAAAGTTCGTCCCATTGGTTCGTCCTAATCCTCGCGACAGTCGAGATGATATTGAATGAGAAAATAATTTTGCAAAATACGTAGACCTTGTAAAAGCGAGAAGGAGTGGGGAGAAGGCTTCGAACGCCTGTTCGCTTTGTTTATAATACGTGGTATGCGAAGTACTGTTATTGTTTACATTCCAGATACGCCGATATAAAATATTACATCAAACTAATTCTTACCAAAATCTAGAATAAAATAAGCGTTCCAAAAAGAACAGAAACTCATAAAGCAAGGAGCGAAGCGATATGTTCAGCTTTCTCTGTATTAAAATTTTTAACCAACGGTCAAAAGTAAGTTATTATATTTTCAATATATAATAAATATTAAATATTAGTATTATAGAGATATTATAAATATTATAAGTATTATAAATATTAAATATTAAATATTAATATATAATAACAAGTTACGATTTTAAATATAGTGTGCAAGCGTGTAGTATCAAGAGTATCGAAAAAAATATCGGGCGACTGTCGTATTATGCGCAAATATAATATATTCCGTTAAATGAAAATGTGCGATAGTTCCGTTAAGTGAACTCCGCGCGGCCATAGTTCTAAACAAATTGAGTTAAACATATTGCTTGCATGTTCTTTATTGCTTCATCAATATTCAAATCTAATAATTACTTCGTTTTTTACATATATATGTAGTCGCAGGAAAAATTAATCTTCCTACTTTTGAATCGTTTAATTACAATGTAACAATGATTCCAAAGAAATTAAGAAAGTGTGCTACAATATGAAATCATGCTTACGCATAGATTAATATGTCTGTTAAGCTAATAATTATTTATATTTATTTTGTAAATATTTTTTGGTATAATACCAAAAATAGTAACAATCAAAAAATCATATAATCCTCCCGGTAACCTTCAGTGACTTATGGGCTTCCTTGGTGCATTTTATTACCGAAGCGATCAACTCTATCGGCTATTACCTGTGTTCTCTAATCCGTTAATAATCCATTCGGTTAGAGTCGAAGAATTAATGAAAGGGGTATTGAAAATTCGAAATGCATGGTCGAGCATTAATAGAGCCCTATATAAAGTCATATTCTCTTCTCTCAGAGAATTTTCTAGAAAGAGATTCAATGCAAATTTTAATAAAATTATACTCTCTTTCCGAAATATAACATGGTTTACATAATAATAAAGAAATATTTCAATTTTTACTTTGGGCAAGAGCAGATTTACGACAATGAAGTTGCTCGAGTTCGATACATTAAGTTTGTATCATATACTTTAACGAGGCGTAAATTCGTGCGTAAACGCAATTAAATTTAGCGAATAATCTGCGACGGACACAAATACATACAGAAATAAAAATAAATGGCACATCATCATTTGGAGTTACGTTGACATTTTCTATTTTCTTCTCGGAATCTTCTATATTTGATTGCTTTATATTGTAGAAAGGAACAGATTATCCCATTTTAGCATAATATTGCATTCTCGTAATATAAATCGCATCATATTTATTATTACTATAGAGAGCATATGTTGTGCATTTTCCTAATTTAAAAAAGATTGCCTCTTTAAAATCAGCCAAAATTATATATAAGATTCTTATCGGAAATTGAAGTAAATTTAATTTATATTATAAATTTAAAAACACTATATACATTTTGCTACACATGAATCTCCTACAAAGAATATACAGATATTTTCTGTTTGTTGTTAACATATTATACAGTCTTTAAAAATGTTTCTCTTGTACAACTTTTAATATTTTTCAATCTCTATAATTTCGTTATAATCTATATATGTGCATTAGTTTATCAGTAAAGCAATCTGAAGGTATGTATATCTGAATGTACGATGCCGTGCACCCGTGTGCTTCACTCTGCCTCGTGTATAAATTTTTTAAATTTATTTTTTGTTTCTTTTTTTGTAAATTTGTGATATTAAATCAAATTAATAAAATCAATAAATAATGATTTTATTAATCTAATCTGATATTATAAAATAAAATAAGAAAGACTAAATAAAAGAATTACTTTAATCAATCCCAACGATTTATAATAACGATTTTAATGTACGCAATCTTTAGAAATAAATAGAAATATTAATGTTAAACTAAATATATATTTATGTATAAGTGTAGATACACACATATTCAAGCTGTATTTCCTTGATGTATAAGAAATATTGTATTTTTTTGCTTACAGACGTCCAAGAATCCATGAGTTTATCTTTCTGGCAGCCATAGGCGAAGAAAATCGGGATCTGGGCGAGGAATGAGTAGGGGATAAGCTGCGGCAAAAAATAGTTTGACTCTTTTACAAAGAAGATATGTGAACCGGAGAGAAACTTCAAAAAACCATGGTCATGGAAAAGCAGGTACGATGCGTCGCAGAACTGAACTTTTCAAAATATATGTATGTATTTTTATTATTTCGATTATATTATTGCTATGTTGTATCATCAGCTTGACTTGAAGAAATCTTTAATTAATAATTCAATTTTTAATTAAAAATTAATAAGAGAAGTTTAATAATGTATTTATTAAATTAAATTAAAAATTTATTAAATTAAATTAAATTTTAGAATATAAAAAATATCCAAAAATATCGAAAACTACATAATTTAAAAAATTTTTTAATATATATATAAAAAAATTTAGCAAAATTTGAGCCAAGCGAATCTCATGTTGATTCAGCATTGTATCAAATCGTTTTGCACGGTTAGAATTGCAAATAAGAAATCTCTCGAAATGGCGCCGTTTGAAATTTCTCTTCGACCAATGTTTTACCGTAATCGTTCAAGTTGGACAGTTCGCGCAAAGTCCGGGACAAATTATACTTCTCTCTTGGAATGGAATAACTCGTAAAACCGAGCCGCATCCGCGAGATCGCCATCTCTCTTATCTCTTCCCCTCTTTTTCATCCAACCCCCTCCCTCTTTCGTACCCTCTTTTGCATACAAATACTCGAAAATAACGACACAAAATCCGACTCGCAACTCAGCCCTACCCGTCTTCTTTTTGCGTTAGAATCATCCAAGCGTTTGTCGACCAATCACTTATCTCAAGAGTCACGAAAATACTTGTCGTTGAATTTAGAAGAGCGCTATATCTCGTGTTTTCCACACCCGTAAAGAAGCGCACTACGGGGATTGAAAAAGCCGAAACACGATCAAGATTTAATGCAGTTCAAAACAAAGATTATATACCTTGTTAGAAATTTCAAACATATATTAAATTTTATATCATAACACGCACACATGCGACTAATTTCCATATAATTATTATACAATTAACGTTTTCCAGCAATATTCTATATCATAAATTTTATTTTTGTATATATGTCTGTGTACGTATATGTAATTATCTTTTAACAATTTCTCGAAACACGATTCCTTCGATTATTCAATCAGCCTTAATTAATATTACGCAAATACATTTTAAGTCAATCATTGATAAAATAATATCATTACTGCGTTAGCCATAAATATATCGCTAATATATTCAGATATTCCGAGAACGGAAAACATTAAACTAAAAACATGGAACACGCCTTTGAATCTCTTGCGAGTGAGATAGCGCTGGCAAAGATATCGGACACGCATCTGATTAGCGGAATATTCCAGTATCAAGATGTCTAATTAACATGATAGGTTAAAAATGAAAATTGCAAGTCAGAGGTACCGCGCGCGCTACTTAGGCTACATCTTGTGGAACGTGATTGTCGAGCTAGATGTAAGAGAGATCGGAGATTATACTTATGTAGAGAGAGAGAGAGAGAGAGAGAGAGAGAGAGAGAGAGAGAGAGAGAGAGAGAGCGGTGCGCTCCCCTGTTTATTGCTCCATAGAAGCACCCTTTAAAAACGCATCATGCACTTTTATGAGGCAACGATTATGCTCTAAACTCCAAACATTCCGCCAGCACCATCAAGCGGGGTCCGCGGTTGTAAAGAGCACAGTTTGTACTACAAGCTTACATCGATCGCTCAAAATACATTATCAGTCTCCTTTTCTCTCTCGCTTTCTCTCTCTTTCCTTCGACCATCTCCGCCCTCGGGAGGGTAAACGCGGGGGCGTGACGCGTCACGATTTGAAAGAGAAGTCGCGGAGGTAAAAAAAGAGAAAAATCGAATAAATTAACAACGATAAGATTGTGAAATACACTCACGACTGGAACTGCGGCCGTTAATGTCGGCGACCGCCGGTGAAAAGCAACACTGTAGCACGCTAGACGCGTTGGACACGAGTCGCATTAGATCCTTCGTGTGGAATGCTGTTCAACGCGGACAAAGTCGATGTTATTGCTAAAATGGCGAGCTAAAGCCTGTTTACTTTGTGTGTATTACGTGCATATAAACATATATAAAATATTTCTTAAATAAGTACATTATTCCTTTCAAATGGAGTAAATAAGAAAATCGTATAAAGTCGCGGTACTTGAGACACCGAGTTGTATAAAACTCGGATATAGTAAGTCGTGATGAGCTTGCGTTCTCTCTTTGTTTGCATATTCGCTATCTGATTCGATCTCGGGATATAACAAATTCGTTGGGGAATATATACATATCGAATATATTCTTCATTAATTTGAATATGATCCAGGCGCGTTTTTGAGATCCGGCGCGTCGTTCCTTTCCACGTGAAACATCGTAAACGAAGTAGGAAGGGTGGAGCCACCATTAAAGTTACGAAGATCATGCCCATTATTTTAATGAACGATGCCCAATAAGCGGTTCCCTCGGCTTATGCCGAACGTCGAACTGGAAACCGACTATGTTAATCCGTGCCGGCATTGCCAACCATGCATTGGAGACTTTACCGAAAGAGAGGATCGGCCACACACGAAGATCAGATCGACATTTTCTCGAGAATATTATTTCTTGAATTTTTGGACCTGCTGCGATTATAAAAACGGCCGCTAGCAATTAAGACAAAGATACCCCCGTGAGAACTTCATCCCCTTCCATCGTAATTTCCAACGAAACGAATAAAACGATGAGCGGG